CTGTGAGCCCCCCAGCATCCCGGGGACCCCTGCGAGCTCTGGGGCCTCTTTCCTGCTGGGTCGGCTTTATTTCGTGCCGCTTCACACCCAGGGGCTGTCAGCTACCACGCTGCGGCCTGATAGCTGGCTGTCTCCCGAAATCTCAGCTCCGGGCCCCCCAGATGCTTCCGTTTCAGGTGGCTTTTCTCTTCCGGACCCTGCACCAACAGGAGCTGTGGCCTCTGTGCCTACATGTGTCCTGAAGGCAGGGGTGGGGTGTGCTGGGGGCGAGAGAAGGTTTCTGCCGGGGAGACTCTGGACCCTCCGTGGCTGTGCATCTGTTGGGAAAGAGACAGGTGAACCTGACCCATCGAGGCTGTTGCAGCCAGGCTCCGATCCCGGCTTCTTCTCTCGTAGCGCCGGGCTTGACTCACAGCTGTGCCCGCCGGTATGAATTTCATGAGCAAAATACAGACTTGCCTTGGTCTACCCTGCAAGTGTCACAGAACGTCGTGGCCACAGTGGTTGTGTCTGTGGCCTCTGGCGTCAGACTGTGTGGAAGGCCAGACACTGTGGTGACACCAGACGGTGTGAGTCACGTGGCCCTCCGCTGCCTCCGTTTCCTCACCTGGCGATGGGGACGGCAGCCACACATCCACCCGTGCCCTGATAGCAGGACTCAGTGGGATGAGACGATGCGTGTCAAGTACCCGGGACTGGATTGGTCACAGGCAGTGCACAGAACGTCGTGGAAAATGCCATAAAATCTGAATTCGATTGAACGCATCGGTGTGTTTTGAGCATTTGTTTTGTGCCAGACACGGTGCACACATTTTACTCACGTAACCTCACCTTGCTCCCAAAGCCCCCCAAGGGCAGAGATTGTCCGTCCCGCTTTGCAGAGAGAAGACTGGGGCTCGGAAACACAGGCCCCTGGCTCCGAGTCTTTGAGCACAGAGCCCACTCTTGAGGATGTCAGCACGTCTCAATTTCTTCTTTTAAAAAATAGGAACATTTTTCTCTCAGTTGAAAAGAGAGCAGGTATACCTCTTTGGGTCAGAGCAAGGAGGGAACCTGCTCCCCACAGCCTTCCCCTGCCCACCTGCAGCTATGCCGTCCACTTAAGGAGCAACCAGCCGTGAGTGACCACTTAACGACAGAATCTAAATTAATGCGAGGAAATAAAACTAAAAACTCAGTTCCCCACTTGCACGAACCGCACTTCAAATGCGTGATAGCCACATCAGACAGAGTAGACGTGGAGCGTTTGTTTCAGAAGCTCTACTGGGCAGCACTGTCACAGAGACAGTGATATAGATGGGCTTCTGTTTGCCTTAACCCCATGGGACCCGTTCCGCTCATAGACCACATAGGAAAAGAACAATACCAATTGTATATCTCCCTTCTCTTTTGCAAAGCACTGTGAGGACCAGCTATCTATGGGGGGTGTGGGGGGGATTGCTGTGCAAGCCCCAGGATGTTTGTAAACATGCAGGTGTCTGTGACCATTGCATTTAGACCTCAGCTCTCTAGAATCACTGATGAGGGAGAGAAAACCAACATCACAGGGCCCTGCAGTTTCCTTCCTGCACTGTCCTCCTTTTGGTTCTGATGCGGGCCTGAGACCCGCGCCAGGCCTCTCTGTGGCCCTTCCTGGCCACCAGCCCACACCAGACACACCAGTGTGTGGAACTGCTTCATTCACTCGGGTCTTTTGCGATTGTCCTCCCTCTGCCTTAACAGCATCTTACTTTTGCAAACTTTGTTTCCTGAGAAAACTTCCTTTTTTCTTTCTGCTCTGCTCATCTGGTCATTTTGTGCTCAGCTGAAGAATATTTTGTCATGAGATAATGGTAATGATTTGCAAAAATCTGTGCCTGTCCATAAAATGGTGATTTAAGCTGCTGTTGGATAGCTCTCGATGGTTGCCAGGTGCAGTTAAAACCACACTGGGATTTCCAGTAAAAACCGGTTAAAACCGCACTGGGATTTCTATCCCAGAAACGCTTCAATGTGTGGTGGCTTACCAGGATAGAGAGAGATTTCACCTCACACATACAGATGGTCTTAACATTTGAATGCCCCTGTATGCATGTATGTGTGTATTTTTGTTTTTTGTTTTATGTCTTTTTGAGAATTGAGAGAGTGGGATGAGGCTTAGGAAGTCTCAGCAAAACCCACGTTCCCAGCATCTCCATGGCAACCTTAATATGTTAAGGTATTGACGTTGCAAGCACGTAAGTTTCATGAAGAAGACAGATACCATCCATGGCCCCAAGTCCTCAGGATACACATGTCATCAAGAGCCTCAGTTTCCCTACTGATAGTCACAGAAGATGACTCTTGGCTTGTGGAATCAGAATGCCACAGCTAGAGGAGTATCTCAGCAGCACCCCAGTGACCACCTCACAGATGAGGAACTGGCAATCCAAAAGAAGGAAGTGAGTTTCCCGAGGTCCCACCGTCTCTGAGTCTACTAGAGAATCCCAAGCCCCTCTACCTGCCCATCCACTGCTCCTGTCACACGCTCCCCCGCCTTCATTTACAAATTGTTTTTGACTCTCCATCTCCTATTTCCACAGCTCTCTGCATTGCTGGCTGTCCAGAAGGCTGTTTCCTCTTGGTTCATCAGCTCTGGTTTACCATCACCATTAACAATGCTTAGTTTCCTTCCCCTTCCACTTGGATGATCTCATCCCCTTTTAATACTCTCTGACTATAATCCCAAACCCTCAGTTCTGCAGCCTTGGGAGAAAGACTTTAGAGTCTTTGTGTTGGTGAGATGAGCCTTGCAGTCTTGCCCCACCTCTAACCATTACAGAAACGAAAAATTAAAATGAAGCATGCCGCTGTAAACCTTCCAAATAGTTTTATTCCCATCGGGAGGCCTTCAGCAGCTGTCTCTGAAAGAATGCAACATTTTACCTCCTTTCCCTGCCACTTTTATTTTTCTTTGCTTCACTGTTTTATGTGTTCTTGTTAAATAAATAAAGGCAGTAGAGTTGAGAAAGTACCAGGACGTCGAGTAATCTCCAATTTAGCTTTTCTATCTACTTGAGGACATCCCATCCCATCCCTACCTAGTTTTGAGCCATCCATCCCCATGTACAAGGGCGACCACTTCAGCCTTGTTAAATGTTTTTAAAAATTGCGAACGGTACTCATACCCACTGACAGTGACCTGGTTAATGAAAGAGGTACAGCCACGGTATCGAGGGACGATTTGATGCTTGCCTTTTGGGGGCGTGGGCTGGGAAGGGTCATGCAGGACTTCTGAGATGATAACGTTTGATGCCTTAATCTGTGTGGTGATTTCCAGGATGTAGAATGGGTACAAATTTATGTGGCACTTCATTCGACCTTAATAAAAATAAATACATCCACAAAGGGAAAAAAATGTGCTATGTTATTGACATGGCAACAAGCAAAGAAGGCAACTTGGGAAGTGGTTTGTATGGAATAATGATAATTTGCAGGTTGAAACAAGGACATACTATGGCCCACAGGCCAATCTGTGTTTATAAATAACCTTTTATTGGAACAGAGCTGAGTTCATTCACTTCTGCATTATTTAGGGCCGCTTTTGTGTTGTGTACTCACTTCCTAGGTCTGCAAGAACAAAGTACTAGAAACTGAGAGGCTTACACAATAGGAATTTTTCGGTCTCACTGTTGTGGGGCTGGAATCTGAGACCAAGGGGTCCGCAGGGCTGTGCTGGCTCTGAGGGCACAAGGGTAGTATCTGTTCCGGGGCCTCTCTCTCAGCTTCTGGTAGCTTCTTGGCTTGTGGCAGTGTGAACTCCAGCCTCCCCATGGTGGTGGTCTCCTTGCCTGTGTGTCTGTAGTCAAATTTCCCCTTTTTTTTATAGTGGTTTGGGGGCCCACACTTCCCCCATGTGACCTTAGGCTAACGAATCACATCTGCAATGACCTTATGTCCAAACGAGGTCAGATTCTGACATGCCGGGGGTTAGGGCTTCAACATAGGAATTTGTTGGGGGTGGG